AATAAATCTGTTTTGTACAGTTCATTAAAAAGGTCATTTTATCTAATCATATTTGTACCATCAGCTTTAAAAACACCGGATTTCAGTAGCAATTTGTCCTTGAGTGTGTCTATAAATAAAAATAAGAATAAATAAGAATAAAATAAAATAAATAAATCTGTTTTGTACAGTTCATTAAAAAGGTAATTTTATCTAATCAATTTTCTACCATCAGCTTTAAAAACACCGGATTTCAGTAGCAATTCGTCCTCAAGTGTGTCTATAAATAAATAAAATAATATATAAAAATAAAAAAAATAAAAAAGAATCTGTTTTTGTACAGTTCATTAAAAGGAGTAATTTTATCTAATTATCTTTCTACAATCAGCTGTAAATGGGTAGTAAACACCAGAAAATTCAGCTTAACTACTTTTTGTGTGTTCCTGAACGCCTCAGTAGACAATGTACAGCTCCAGCTGAGAGCAGCAACATTTGTGCTTGTAACTTTTCCCAGTTTTAAAAAATCCGTTTTCACCTGAAGAATTTACATATATTTTTTGTTTATTTCATTAGACAAGAGTTCACAAATCTTAGGTTTTGAGCCCTGATGCAAATCTGGATCTGTTCTTGAAAAGAATATTACTTTATTTTTTTTAGTAAGTGTGTTGTTATAAAAAAAAGTCTCATAAATTAATTGTTAGAATTTAAAAACATAAGCACCAAAGTGTTTATTTGGTGGGAGACTACAATCTGATCATATATCCTAATATCAAATATTATTACGAAAATAATATTGGAACCGGACTATTATTTTCTCTCACAGATTTATGGGCTTTTGCCTGATTTTTACAGCAGTAAATCAACTTGACATTATTCTTTATTGAGCTTCTTCATATTTTTTATAGCAATATGCGTTTCTGATTAAAGCTTTTAATTATTGAACTCTTTGTTAAATAATTATTGCATGTCCTTTTAGAATCAACTTATTGGCACGCTGTTATATTTATAGTCATTTTGAGACATTTTTTCAGTTGGCAGCCAAATAAATGAGATTACATTCTTTTCGTTTCTTTACGACGCGTGCCTAAAGATACACTCTGAACTTGGTAACTAGTTTTTCATTTTAAGTTATTTTGGCTTTTTATTCCATGACTTTAA